ATATAAAAGAATAATTTGTCATTGTATAAGCCGATGACATGAGTAAAAATAGTAGGCTAAAGGGTCAAATAGGTACATGAACTAACTTAAAGTGTTCAATTAGCCCCTTATATAGGAGGTTCTGCCTGGCCGTCGCCAATTGGGGTGGTTACCGGTGGAATTTTTTGATGAAATTTTTTGAGCATCGTCTTCATTAAGTCTAGTTTACCCGTACCAAATTTTAGCTAAAAATTCAACCGGGAAGGAAGTCAAATGATTTTTTGAAGATAACTGCGCAGTACATTTCGGAAAATCATTTGACTGTCTTCTCGATTTAATTTTTAGCTGAAATTTGGTATGGGTAAAATAGACTTAATGAATAACATGCTCAAAAAATTTCATCAAAAAATTCCACCGGGAACCGCCCCAATATGCGATGGCCGGGCAGAACCTCCTATATAATGGGCTAATTGAACACTTTAAGTTAGTTCATGTACCTATTTGACCATTTAGCCAAAATAGTAATCAAGTCCAAGATACAGTTTTGCAAAGTAATGTCAAAAAATAAAGCATAATAACGATAGAATGAGACCCAAGTTAACGTAACATCATCATCATCATATTTATATGATCATCATATAGCACTCAAGTTAAACTCATCATTTTCACCTAGATGACGGATGACACATGAGAAAGTTGTGTGACTGCTACGCATGTTATTGTTTGTGTAAAAGTTTACAGGTAAAAATGTCAAGCTTAAGAAAACCTTAATTTTGATATGCTTGTTTGGAAAAGAACATCACATATCTAATACGTAGTACCCCTCCGTCAGAAAATGAGTCTTGTTTCTTTTGGGCACAAAGATTAAGAAAATGTGGTAGAAAGACTAAAGAACCTTACTTTATTGTATTGTTCATCCTTTTACTTTTATTGTTCATTAAAAATGAGGGATATAAATTGTAATCCACTTTTAGTTCTTTACCAAAAAGGGAAATAAGACCATTATTTTGGGACATCCTAAAAAGGAAATACAGATCGAACCATCATTTTGGGACGGAGGGAGTAGTATTTTAGGTTTTAGTCTTTTAAGATGCTAGATTTGGTCATCATGCAATTAATTTAGTATTTAACGGTTGTATATTTTGTAATGTAACAATACAAAAACACGGGGTTATGAAGATGAGGTTTTCTTTTTTGCTTTTAAACTATTGTTGATCTCCTATTCATTTGATGTATTCATTCAATTGAACAAATCATGTTTGTATTTTTTTTGTAAAATACGGGAAATATACGTTTTATACGGGAAGTAGAAGTTTTTTTTCCTTTTTAAACGTACCGACATTATTTTTCGTTTTAAACGCGTTTTTTTGTTCAAAAAAATGGTACGTGTTTTAAACGCGTTTTAAACGGAAAAAAGTTGACTAGGATCACTTCTTCCTGTTTCATTAAAAAAAGCACTTTTTTAAAAGCAGAAGCTGTTGCAAACATACCCTAACAAATTTGTTGGCCTTCATCATATCCTTGATCAAGGGCATTTTTGTCTTTTCAAATTGAGTTGGGGTGCAAAAACAAAGATTTTTTAAAACGGGGTGTAAAGTCCAATTTCGATAATAAAATGGGGTGCAAACTCAAATTACCCCTTCTATTTTTATCTCATACTACGTATGATCCAATTAGAACGGATAAACAATATTAAGGATTATTAGCTTATTTTATCCCAAACTATTATCAAATTAACAAATTTATCCTATTCTTTCATTTTTATAAAAAAGACTCAAACTTCATCTTTTTCAACAATTATGTTTTTATTTTTTGTTTTTTCAAAATTACACATTTCTATCAATACCAATTAGATACAAGCAATACAAATGTGTTAACTTGAAACTAGAAACAAGTCAAAAATGTTAAATATGAATATGATTTTCTTCTTAATTTTCACTAATTCATCCATTAAAAGTGTAATTGTGTGAAAAGGTAAAGTTTAAGTCTTTTTTAATAAAAGTGAAATTATAGGATAAATTTGTGAATTTATGATAGTTAAAGATATATTTAACTAATAATCCCAATATTAATGAGTACGTACGAATAAGTGAACGCCAACGGAATAGCTTCCACGAACAAAATAAGTGAAGATGGACTTTGTATGATGCATAAGTTCCTCATTGAAACCTTGGAGTCTGATTCTGAAGTTGGTATGTATGTATGGTTCCAGGACTTGAATTATTTCAGGTGCTTACTTGTTTACGAGTTTTCTCAAACAATTGATATAATATCAATATAATGTTCTCCCCACATCCCAAAATAGTTTGATTTAGCATATCAATAGTATCAATACAATTTATTAGCCTTTACAATATCAAATTTTAATTATATTATACGGAGTAACTTGGATTTTGCAACTTTGCACAACTTCCGATCAATTTTCGAATATGTCAATTTTATTAATTAGAACTGATTTAACTATCCGCATGAATAATTTTTACTCTCGCTCAACCTTTTTTTTTTATCATGCTATCGCTCAACCTTAAAAATGGTAAGTGAATGAGGTTACTATCGCTCAACCTTAAAAATCGCAAATGAGAATTGAATTAGGAACAGAAGAAATATACTAGTACTCCCCCGTTGCATAAAAATCTTTCAACTTTCCGGATGTTCCAAAAAATTATCACCACTTACCATTTTTGGAAATTTTGTATAACTCACATTCATTTACTTTTTTCTTACACAACCACAACTATACATTTTCATTTTATTCTAACTTCCTTAATATACGTGCCAAGTCAATGTGGAAAGTTTTTTTGGGACGGAGGGAGTAATTTTTAATTAGATACTACTACCTCCGTCCTACTATGTTTGGGACAAAACGGTGTAGCACAACTTTTAAGAAAAAATGAAATTGTATGATTGATATTGAATTGATAAAATGTGAATAAATTAAGAATGAATTATAATCATCCAAATATTGCCAAATATGATACGGGGACAAACTTAATGGAACGAACGAAAAAAGTAAAGTGAGACAAAATTAAGGGGACAAAAAGAGTACTACTCCTATTTAACTACCACACCTGTCCCACTATGTTTGGGACAATTCGGTTTACGATGCTTGACCGACGATAAAGCAAAGTGATCCCTGTCCGTATTCAAATTATTGTAAGAAAATAAAAATTACATATTCAGGAACTATATTAAAATCTTTACAAAGTCGCAAAAACCAGAATCAAATTTGATAAACAATTGATATATAAAGTAAGAGATTAAGAATAATTTGTGTTGACCAAGTGAATAATGTCTGAGACAATCTTATTGGGACGGAGAGAGTACAATTTTCTCTTACGAGAACATTTTTCTGTAGTAATGATCGGGTCGGCATCAGATTTGAGTTGAGTGATTTACTCGAACTTGCCAATGCAGGCCGAATTAGAGCATCTTCAATGCTAAAACGTTAATGGTGCATACGTGACATGAGAAATAACCAATTAAAAAACAATAAATAGAATATCTATCTCCTTATTTGAAGGATCTTACATCATTTTGGTAAGTTTTTTTTCACAATGTCAAGCACAATGTCTAGATGTAGACATTGTGGTTGACATTGCAGACAAAAACTTACCAAAAACACGCAAGACCGTGGAAAGAAACAGGGAGAAATGTCATAAAATCAATATTTTGTGTCTATATCTCTCATACCACATGTGCACAGTGCACATTGTAGCATTGGAGATGCTCTTAGAGCATCTTCAATGCTACAATGTGCACGGTGCACACGTGGCATGAGAAATAACCACACAAATATTAGTAAATAAATTATTTCTTTCCTTGATTGAATGATTTTATATAATTTTGGTAACTTTTTCTTGATAATGTCAACCACAATGTCTACACCTAGACGGTCTCCTTGACATTGCAGAGAAAAACTTACCGAAATTGTAATAATTCATTTAAATAAGGAGATATATACTTTATTTACTCATATTTATGTGGCTATCTCATATGCCACATGTGCGTGAATAAGGAGATGCACTAAGAGCATCTTTAATGCTAAAGCGTGAACAGTGCATACGTGGCATGCGAGATAGTCAATTAAAAAATAATAAATAGAATATATCTCTCCTTATTTGAAGGATCTTGTATCATTTTGGTGAGACTCACTTTCGGGTCCGAAGCTGAGCTGTCACACCCCATGTATGAATGGTCTGGTATTTACAGAGGAAAATAGGAGACATAAATTTAGGAATTTTTTGTGAACATAGGCCAACATTTTCCTTGACTTTTTTGATTCTCAAAATCAAATAACCATTATTAAACATCGTGCTTCAACATCTTCCTTGACTTTAATCATTTGAATTGAAAATTTCAATTTTTTTTTTAGGTAATGCGTTTTCATACTCCGTAATCCGTATGTGTCATGCGTGATGTAGGATGTTTTTACTTTTTCGGTCCTTGTTCACGCCACATGATAAGGTCATACCAATTTAGACCAGACCGCAATTAAACAGATTAAATCAGATGAGCAAATTTCAATCCAACTAAAAACATTTGCACTCCCTCAACTATCCTTTTTCAGACCGGATTTCACAAACTTTCCTTTTTTGTTTGTATAAAAAACTTGTCACTTTCCTCGGCAAAATCTCAATTACATAATTCTTATTTTTTCTTATTTCACGCTACACATAAAGTTAGTAAAGTCCAATAAAATAGGGGTAATAGTTTAATTTTGCATTTGAGTGTGAGATTTTAAGTCCAAGAGAAGACAAGACTGATTTCAAGTACTCACTTCGACCATTATCTTTGTCTTTTTTTTTATGTTTCCAGAAACACTATAATTTTCTTTTTTTGTCCCGTTTTTCAATCATATTCCCTACAATTTTTATTAGGAAGTGAGTGGAGTGTATTATTTCATAGGAATCCAGGGGCAGATTCAGGAATTTGAATTGCCCAGAAACGAAGACTAATTATACCAGACCCAAACATTAGGGAGTGGGTTAAATATGGGGGAAAAAGTTATACTACAAAAATTGAAAAAAAAATTGAATTACCCCAAGTTTATATGTACAGTAAAAATTGAATTCAGCTTCATACTTCGTAGTTCATACGTACGTACATCCTGCGGGAGTCAAACTTAACAAAACTTGCCAGTCAAGACAAAGAATAAAAGTGAAAACATCGTTGTCATTTTTAGGAGACGTTGACAATGGATCACTTTCCAGTCTTTCCGATATGATGAATTGATAATTGCTGTTGCTAAAACAGATTTGACTGTAAATCATCAATATAAAATATGAGAAGAAATGTACGATGGTAATATGCAGTTAGCTCTCCGAGATGGGACGGGATGTGTTCTCCATCTTCCCCGGCGGTGGCGGAGGAGGCATTCATCGTTGCAAATCCTCCTCATCTCTGCTGTTTAGTCAAATAGTAGTCGTCATTATAATCCTCACACATATGCCCCACCGGGGGAAGTCCGTGACTGACCGCGACACCTTATTAGGAGTTAAGCGGCAATGGGGTAACCCGTCTACGCTTCGAGCCTGGAATTCCACCTCCTCTCCATGTAGCTGGCCGGAGATAGAGTGCTCCGGTGACGGATCGGTCACAGGCATCTTTCTCAAGGACTACAACATTGTCTCCGAAATTCCGCCGGAGATTTGCAACCTTAGCAACCTCACCTCACTCGATCTTTCCTACAATTACATTCCTAATCAATTCCCCACGTTTCTGTACAATTGCTCCAAGTTGGAGCACTTGGACCTCTCTCAGAACTACTTCGTGGGTGATCTTCCTCACGACATTGACCGGCTACGGAACCTCCGCTACTTGGACCTCAGCGCCAACAATTTCACCGGCGACATCCCACGCTCCGTTGGGAATATCACCGAGCTCCGGCAGCTGATGATGTACCAAAACCTGTTCAATGGCACTTTCCCTGTGGAAATTGCCAACTTATCAAATCTGGAACAGATGCAGATGGCGTACAACAGCTTCTCGCCCAGGGAGATCCCGGAGGAGTTTGGAAACTTAAAGAAGCTCAAGTTCTTATGGTGGTCCTCCACGAATTTAGTCGGAGAAATTCCAAAAAGCTTTGAGAATTTGTCTAGCCTCGAGCAGCTGGATTTGGTTGGTAACAGTTTGCAAGGTCATATCCCAAGCAGATTGTTCTTGCTCCCAAACCTCACTAAAGTTTACCTGTACAACAACAATCTCTCGGGTTCCATTCCCTCTCGTTTTGCAAAGCCATCAAAACTGGTGGAGGTGGATTTGTCCCATAATAGGTTAACAGGTGAAATCCCGGTAGGGTTTGGAGAGTCAGAGGGACTTGAGCTTGTGGCTCTCTTTATGAATCAGTTGTCTGGTGCAATTCCTCCAAACATAGGCCTGATGCCTTCTCTGAAAAATTTCAAGGTTTTCATTAATAATTTGAGTGGGATTCTGCCTCCTCAAATCGGGCTTCATTCCAAACTAGAAAGCATTGAAGTGTCCGAAAATAGGCTGACAGGAAGATTGCCCGAGAATTTGTGTGCGGGCAAGGCCCTGATTGGTATCACAGCATTCAACAACAATTTCACAGGGGGAATCCCCCCATCACTTGAGAGTTGTGACACACTGTTGACTATCCAGCTGTATAACAATGCATTTTCAGGGGAAGTTCCACCTTGGATTTGGACATTAGGGAGCATGATAAGCGTGATGTTGAGCAACAACTCCTTCTCCGGTAAGCTTCCGCATGAGGTGGCTGAGAACTTCACGCGGCTAGAGATCAACAACAACCGCTTCTACGGGGAACTCCCTCCCCCGAAAAATTCATCTTCATCACTCCAGGGTATTATTGTGTTTCAAGCAAGTAACAATCTATTGTCGGGACATATTCCACGCGAGTTTACTGCTTTTCCTAAGCTGACTGAGCTAAAGCTCGATGGAAATTCACTTTCTGGCGAGCTTCCCAAAAATATCTTGTCATGGGCATCTTTGAATACGTTGAGTCTTGCTAGAAACCAGCTTTCCGGCAATATTCCAGCAGCTATTGGCTCTTTGCCCGATCTTGTTGAACTGGACCTATCAGGCAACCAGTTTTTCGGCCTAATACCACCAGAATTGGACCGTTTGAGGCTCAATGGGCTTAACCTTTCATCAAACAAACTCTCAGGGAGAATCCCAGCTCGTTTTGATAACTTCGCCTTTGAAAAAAGCTTCTTGAGCAACCCTAGCCTGTGCGCTGTGGACCAACTGAGCAGTACACTTCCACATTGTCATTTGAAAACCACCCACCGCTTCCCAGTTAGGGTCATTATTCTCATCGCAGTCTTTGGAGTCATTGCTTTTCTAGGTGTTTTATTAATCTTGTTCAAGGTCAGAGACTATTCCAGGAAAAGGCGTGACATCCCAACATGGAAACTGACCTCATATCAAAAATTAGATTTCACTGAAGAGAAAATTCTACGCAATCTGACGGAAACCAATCTGATTGGGAGTGGTGGCTCCGGAATGGTATACAGAATTTCAACAGGAAAAGAAGGTTCGTGCGTTGCTGTGAAGAGGATCTCGAGTGACGGGAAGTTAGATGATGAGCTTGAGAGGCAGTTTGCTGCTGAGATGGAGATACTCGGCTCAATCAGGCACTCAAACATTGTTAAGCTGATGTGTTGCATTTCTAGTGAGAGCTCAAAGCTGGTTGTCTATGAGTATATGGAATATGGGAGTCTTGATACATGGTTGCACAAAAGAAAAAGAGGCTCCCTTGAGAGCCTGGGATTGGATTGGCCTAAACGGTTGCAAATCGCCACTGGTGCCGCTCAGGGCCTATGCTATATGCACCATGATTGTGTTCCTCCCATAATGCATCGAGACGTAAAGTCGAGCAACATCTTGTTGGATTCTCAGTTCAACTCTTTCATTGCTGATTTCGGTTTAGCAAAGGTTTTAGCCAAGAAGGGTGAACCGAACACAATGTCTGCCATTGCTGGATCTTTTGGCTACATTGCACCAGGTATTCTTCGTGATTTCCTAGGTCTTGTTCATTAAATAAGTAGTTACTAACATTTTTTCAATCTTGCAGAGTATGCATACACAACGAGAGTGAACGAGAAGATTGACATCTATAGCTTCGGGGTGGTGTTGCTAGAGCTGGTGACAGGGAGAGAGCCCAAGTTTGTGGATGAGCAAATAAGCCTTGTGGAATGGGCGTGGGAGCACTATGCTGCTGAGAAGGCGATTGATGAAGTCTTGGATGAGGAGATCAATGAAGCGTATGAGTTCTTGGAGGATATTAAGACGGTGTTCATGCTCGGGCTTACATGCACTAACAGGTTGCCTTCAAACAGGCCTTCCATGAGAGATGTTGTGCGTACTCTCCTTCGTTGCAAAACTCTTAATGACTCCAAGAGTAAGAAGGCAGAGGGAAAAAACTACAATGTCGCACATCTTGTTGCCCATGACAGCTTATCAGCTCATACAACTTACTCCAGGAAGGCAGATGATAATGAAAGTGATGATAGTATACTCTCCATTGTTTAGCACATACTGCAAAACACACACACAGAGTGTTATAGTTGGTGGGACAGTCATATACATATATGATACCTGTAAATGCATAGTATTTATAAAAAACCTTAATGCAATTATACCTACTCAGAAAAATATCAGGGTCCCATTCTTCCACCTTTATACATACAATCTATCTATATCTATACATATATTAAGTGAGTTAAGTCTCTTTCCCGCTCATATCTAGGGGCATTTAAGTAAATATGTATAATCTTAATAAACACAGCAGGGTTTTCTTCTTCTGAGCGCATATTGGATCTATTCTTTCGAGTTTCGACCTCCTCTTCAACACTTCTTTACCTTTCTTTTCCTCAAGCTCCTTTCCTGCTAAGTTTCTACTCTCGAGTAGCTTTCATCGGTAGTTCAGTATCCCGTCTTCTTAACATCCTTAGAGCTTCTTGGTAGCTTTATGCAAGAGAGGCAAAGTACACTCAATAAAACTAATGCTGAAAGAAAAGTATTTAAAGCATGCAGAGGCAAAGTACACTCAACAATAAGGCAGGAAAGAAAAAACATAAAGGTGTTGTTGTTGTTGGTCTATTTTATTACTATAAAAAAACTGTTTGCTATGTAAAATTCACTTCGTTTTGCTTTTCTAGCCTCATAGCCTCTTGAAATGTCAATTTATTCATACTTAAGTACAAAGTGCAATTTTTTTCCTTCTCTTCAGCCTATAATTTTAAATTGGTCTATTTTGTTCGATTAAAAAGCCTGTTTATTAATAAAAGTTCACTTTGTTTTATTTTTTCCAGTCTATTAAAAAGCGAAGGCGTCTTAAAAAATTTAATTTTTAGCTTCTAATTAATGGTTACAAGCTAAAATAGACGCATGAAAACAGAGTTACACCTTCGGTAGTTGTTGACTAATACGTAGTATATCATAGCCTGTTTCCTATTCCAAGCTTATAGTTGGTCAAAGGTCCCCTTTCACAATGGATTGGACTCGTGCTTGTGTGCTCCATCACCTCCATGGACTCTTGTGTTCCACGTTTTGTATCCCATCAAAAGTTTTATGGGTCTGGTAGATTCCTCAAACACCAAAGGCTGTGAATTGATTCTCACAGGAGCCTAATATGGAAAGTTGCTGATTTGCTTAGTTGTAGACTCCCGATTATGAAAGGATTGCAATATTATTAGGTTATCTTGAAAACAATTTTTACTTAAGCAGTTTTAAATTTTACTCCTACTACACATACACTAACTGCATGCCAATTCTGCAGTATAGAAAAGATTTTGACTAGGATACTATGTAGGTATCATTTTTAAATACATTAGAGATGCACTAGGTGAGTATCATGTAATAAAACAACTCATGCATTTTCCTGGGCCATGTTTATTTCTGTAAAATTAAACCTAATATGCAGAAACCCTTCCAACAAAACAATATCACTGAGATGAGTATTTAGAGTCATGGAAACTGTTATGAACATTTCAAGAGTGTTTTTTTGTATGTCTTTATATGATATTATTGAGTGGTATGCAGTTCTTTGTGAAAACCCTGACAGGAAAGACGATAACCCTGGAGGTGGAAAACTCGGACACGATTGATAACATGAAGGCAAAGACTCAAATAGTTCAATATCTACCACAATCTTGATCCTTCTGGGTGTTGATTCTAACCTTCTTTTACAAGAAAGGAATTGAAGATTGGGACTACCCTTGTGAAGGTGCACAGAGTGAAATCCGCAAATTTCGGAGTTTTTGTGTTTGAGAAATGGATACAGAAGATGATGGTATGATGTGGCTCTGACCCACTCACGGGCCACCCACAGGGATAGACCCGTTACCATTTTGGGACCCTATAGTGAACCACAGTTTGCATTACCCAGGTGTGCTTGATAATCACCTTGATATGGTTCACAAGGTTCCAGCTTTCGGTTATGGGGGCTTCACTGGTTCCTCTGCCCTATCAGATTGTCACATAAGCTACGATCTTTTGCCTAATGCAAGGAAGAGAAGACCATCAGATTGTGTTCCTCCAAAAGACCATTTGGGAGACTGTTCAGAACAAGATGAGCATAATTCTAACTTGAGGAGTAAACAAGGGGGAAAACAAGTCATTAAGGATAATAATTACAGCAGTTAGGGCTAAACGTGGGCAGAATTAGTGAAAGAGTGACTGAATGAGACTGCTTCAAGAACTAGTCCTAGGCTGTTATAAGATCACTGCGAAAACGATGTTGAGAATACTCTCCGGATGGGATTTGATTCTAATTCTAGTATGAACAATATGGGGATCAAATGGTGACCATTCATGGGGACTAAAATGGTCACTTCTACCATTCAGTCACAGCTTAGACTGCTGAGTTTAATTTGCTTCACATGGACAAGAAATAAGCAAAAGATAATTATTTTCACAGTTGTATAGGCAGTTGTTTAGCTCGGTAGCTCCTAACCCTTTTGTTCTTCGAATTTTAGTAGACGAAATGGCACTGTTTCAATCATTAAAAAAAGGCAAAGATTCAAGACGAGGGGATTCTACCGGATCAGCAGAGGTTGATCTTCGCCTGTAAGCAGCTGGAAGATGGCAGGACCTTGGGCGACTATAACATTCAGAAGGAGTCCACCGCTCTGCTGCACCTTGTCCTTCGTCTCTGAATTGCTCCTTAGCTTTGTTGTGTTTCATTTACGTCTGTCTTGGCTTTGTGTCTGTTCTGTGGTGAGTGTGGTCTGGGTCTTGGGGATTAATTACCTCTTATATCTGTTTCGGTTTACGGTTCGGTTTTCTTGATTTCCGTTCGGTTTCGATTTATTCGGGTTGGGAGTGTACCAAACTAAAACCATTTGTGTTTCGGTTTGATTTTGGTTCGGTTCAGTTTGAAGTTCGATTTACCAAACTAATAAAATATTATGTTTAATTTAGTTTGGTTTGATTCGTTTGCTTATGTTTATTATTTTATTTGATCAAGTTCTACATTTTAGAATTAAAAAATGAAAGTAGTAGTTCATCACATCTTTTTTTAATTTATTGATTATTTGAATAAAATGTAAAAGGAAATAAAAGATAGAAAAATAAATAATAAAATATTATAAATTAAAACTTCTAACATCTTTTTTATCATTACAAAAAATCCACTTCTTACAAAAAATAAGATAGTTGGTTAGCATTTGTAATATCACATAAAATATTCAAAAAACTTAAAAGAGTCAGTGATACAAATGTTGTAATATTCACAATTTTATTTAAATGAATCATGTAAAAATATAAATGCAATTTGCTATTGTTATCGCCAAACATAATAAATACTCCGTACAAATATATCATATTAGCTAACTTTGTCATAATGAATGTATGAAATGTGTAAAAATTAAAATTATACGAGTATATGCTTAAATATGTATATTCATGTCTAAATTATTTATTTATATTTTAAAAATGAAGAGTGAAGATAAATGCATGCAAAGTGTGTGTGTGTGTGTGTGTGTGTGTGTGTGTGTGTGTGTATAGTTTGGTGTTCGGTTCGGTTTACGGTTTTTACGTTTTAAACCAAACCAAACCAAAGTACCAAACCATTCGGTTTGAGCAAATGTTTATCAAACGGTTTACTTAAGTAAACCCAAACTAAACCAAATCAAACCACCAATGTTAATAATATATGATTTTTTTTGAGTTTCTTTAGTTCGGTTCGGTTTTGTTCGGTTTTTATCGGTTTCGGTTCGGTTTAGTTCGGTTTGGTACGGTTCGGTTCGGTTAAACCAAACCGTTATGCCCACCCCTATTTCAATATTTGAATTTTTATTTGTTTAAAAAAAATGTATCATGTTATTTATTGTATTGAGAGAACTATCAAATAAGCTCTATCCATCCGTTGCCATTTGGAGCGGTTCCCGGTGATATTTTTTGGAGCTTACCCATACCAAATTTCAGATAAAAATTCAACCGGGAAGGTAGTTAAATGATTTTCTAAAATATATTGCGTTGTTTAACTGCGCAGTTATCTTCAAAAAATTATTTGACTACCTTACCGATTGAATTTTTAGCTTAAATTTTGTATGAGTAAACTAGACTTAATGAATAAAATTCTAAAAAAAAAATCATAAAACAAATTCATCGGGAACCGCCCCAAATGGCGACGGCCGGACAGAGCCTCCTATAAAAGGGGTGATTTGCACTTTTTATGTAAGTTTGATGGCTTACTTGGTAGTTCTCCCTATTGTATTGTATTATATGCTGAAGAAGTGTGACAGGTATAATTCGTAGAACAATTTGATTGCTTTTTTGGGTAAATCTTTCTAACCTATTATATTTCATTGCTTTTTTTTTTGATAATTTGTCATTTACAAGTTATAATTCAAAAATAAATTGGGAAAAAGTAATTAAAAGAATTTTATCAATCTAGAACCTAAAAGATAGACGAGTTGTCAATCTGAGACTATAAGATGAGTATCAATCTAGATCCTGAAAGATAAAACGTACGGAGTATCAATATAAGACTCGAATGATGGAAACTATCGATCTAGGACCTGACATTTCATAAGTTTTGTTTTTTTTTTATTAATTCTACCGTTAGTTTTTGATGAACTAAATACGAAGTAATATTTAAAGAAACTAAATACGAAGTAATATTTAAAAAATTTGAAAAAATAATCATGACAACTTAGGTCCTGAATTGATAGTTTTCGATCATTGAAA